TATCAGATTATCTCCAATTTTTTTTAAGAAAAATCTGATTTAATGGGATATAATCTGATTTAATGGGATATAATCTGATTAATCCATTGTAAGAAAAATTTGGTTTCCAGGATCAGCATGACGACAAAACCCGAAAAACGGTTCTGCCAAAAAAAAAAGCCACGCTACGCGTCAAAGAAGGCCTCTAACTGCCCAGCGTTCATGCCTCAACTGGGGGATCATCATTTCAAGTAGTGGAAAACATAAGTGTATAATACCATTGAAATTGCTATATACACAATAAATGAAACATCGTTGATATACATGTCATGGTTTGAGGTTGTACATACATATGTATATATATATATATTATATAATCAATTCTATATATATATATATATATAAACCAACCACTAAATACTAATATATATATATATTTACATATATAACCTCCGGAAATGTCACACAGCCAATTATTCAAGCCGCCACTTCGTTCCATGATTTACCCTCGCGGCAAGCCGCGATTAAAACCGGTCTCTTCAGGACGATCCCAGATAGAGTTTTTCCGGAGGTTTCCTGGGTTTCATTATTTTAATGGATCCAGGCGAGCCATGGGATATCATGATTTTAAATGATTTTAATGGTTATGGTTAATGGATTACTGGGTTTCCTGGGGTTTCCAAGTCTTATTGGGAAAGTTGATACTGGTTGGTGGTTTAAAAAACCATCTTGAAAAATATGAGTTCGTCAATGGGAAGGAAGACATCCCATATATTATGGAAAATATTTCAAAAAAATGAAACCACCAACCAGTGATACATCTGATATCATCTGAGATAAATCATAAATATATCATGATATCAGATTTACGATATATCATTTATTTATTGGTAGAGTTGATAAATCTGAGATCCACATATCATGATAGATCCATGATCTCCTAGGCTTCCAACATTCTTATCTGCCTATGCTCAGAGTTGCTTTAACGCCACGCAAGTTTTCAGGACTCCCAAAGGTGAAGCCATCCCAAGATGCTGAAGATTCGTCCAGTTGGCGACTTTTAGGGCTATATAGTTGCTACATATGGAGTTTTCCATGGGGGAGGTACCTCAATATACCTCAATAGCTGGATGGTTTATTTCATGGAACATCCATTTAAAATGGATGATTTACAGGATGGGGCCCCCAAGATAGCGTTCAGTTGCCTGAAAAAGTGGTTGAATTCTATGGTCTATGGTAGATGTAACGAACTAGTTAACGGTGGTTGTAATGGTTTATAAACCAACTTATAACTGGGAGGCCCCATCCTGTAGGGGTACCCCCATTTTAGGACACCTCCATATAATAGTGATGTAAAAGAAAATTGCCCGTCATGGACCCATGGCTGCTACCTTCTGCTGTGCACAACTGTTCACCGGTCACTTTCGCTAGTATATCATGTCACCCAATATTTCCCATGTGTTAGCAACTGTATCCTATGTTTGATGTTTGGAAACACCAAAGATTGCATCACACAACATGTTTTTCATTGACCATGTCCATGTTCATTGCATAAGTCACTTGAATCCGTATCGTTATATTCACCAGATATTCACCAGCATGTGTGGTTTATATGTCATGTTATCTGGCCAAGAGAAAACGTTTTAGTATGATTTTTATGGTTCCCTTTTACACGCGTGTATTCCACTACCAACAGGGTTGTTCCAACTCTTGTTGCTTAGAGCAACTGTGGTTTTTTGGCTGGTGAACCCCACCGTTCATTAGCTTCATATCATATCCCATATTGTGTCTTTCGTTGAATCACCAAGGGTCCCGTCATATTCCCATGTTGGTTAATATACTGTTAATATATGGTTAATATATGGTTATTATATGGTTAATGATCTTGAATAATATGGTTTATCAATGATTACTGGTTGGTGGTTGACCTACCCCTCTGAAAAATATGACTTCGTCAGTTAGGATTGAAATTCCCAACTGAATGGAAAGTCATAATCCATTCATGTTCCAAACCACCAACCAGATTATTATGATTATAGTAATATTACGGCCAAACACCTTGATTTGCCCGCGCTTGTCGGCGGCCATCTTCTGATGTGCTGAAAACGTGGTAAAAATGGGAGTTTTTTGCATCACGGGTAACTTGAAGTGGTATATCTCAACGCACAGGTCCCTGACCTGTGCGTGGCTTTTACACAGCATCAACATCATCATCATCATCATCAAACCCTTATTGAAGATCTTCAATGAATGTAGAAGTTTCACGGGGGTGGGAGAATTAAACCCTTATTGAAGATCTTCAATGAATGTAGAAGTTTAACGGGGGTGGGAGAATTAAACCCTTATTGAAGATCTTCAATGAATGTAGAAGTTTAACGGGGGTGGGAGAATTAAACCCTTTTTGAAGATCTTCAATGAATGTAGAAGTTTAACGGGGGTGGGAGAATTAAACCCTTATTGAAGATCTTCAATGAATGTAGAAGTTTAACGGGGGTGGGAGAATTAAACCCTGATTGAAGATCTTCAATGAATGTAGAAGTTTAACGGGGGTGGGAGATTTAAACCCTTATTGAAGATCTTCAATGAATGTAGAAGTTTAACGGGGGTGGGAGATTTAAACCCTTATTGAAGATCTTCAATGAATGTAGAAGTGTAACGGGGGTGGGAGAATCAAACCCTGATTGAAGATCTTCAATGAATGTAAAGTTTAACGGGGGTGGGAAATTTATATTCCCTAAATACCCTTGTTGATCTTCCCAATTGAATGTAAAGTCTAACGTTTGATATCCCCAAGTGTACAGCATAGAAGGGGTGTGGGCGAATCGGGGTGTTTGCGCGTAATATTACTATAGGCTAATAAAGGTTAATGGCGTTGAATGAAGAATGGTTGATACTGATTAATAGAACATACCCAGACATCTCTCGAACTTTTCCATGGCCAACTCACCGGCCATCTTTGACAGGTGACCCCGTCTCTCAGGTTCCTTCACAAAGACCTGGGCACGGACGGCGCTGATTCTCAATGCCCAGGCGATTTTTTTCCGGAAGCCACAAATCCTAAGTGGTTTTAATACATATACTTCCATATATGCTTGATAAATCAGCCATGATCCCCAGACTAACGTAACATCATTCATTTCTTGTTGGTTAAATCCGGTTTGTTGGTTGAATCGCCATAAATTGTTTGGTTTCTATATATAGATCCCATTAAACCAACCATCATATCAGAGTATATACCCATGGAATCCCTAGTAGTTCAGGCTAAGCCTCCATTAATTGGAGAGTCCCCCAATGATATCCCCATTGGATTTCCAAGACACCCACTACATGCCCATTACATCTTCCCCATAACATGGTTGGGTCCGGGAGGACCAAAATCCACCAACGTCACGTGGAGAGGGAGAAGCATCATCAAAAAAAATATAAATGCTGCAAACAAAAATAAAGGGAAGAAGGAAGGAAGGGAGGGAGGGAGGGAGGGAGGGAGGCAGGGAGGAAGGAAGGAAAGGATTTAGGCGTGGAGACATCTGGTCCAAAAAAAGTTGGGTACAATAGTTGACCAATCCTCCTATACTGGGTAATACTGGGAGGATCATCCCACCCAGCAACTATGTGGGTAACCATAGTTATCAACCTTTTGTATACGGGTTAACCATCTTAGAGGACTTACTAACCAGGGCTACTAACCACTTACGATTCGTGGGATGATCCTCCAAGTATAAGTATATAGGTCCTATAACTATATGATGTCATTAGGTAATACTGTATACTGGGAGGATCATCCCATTAAAATCACAGGAGACCGAAATGGCTAGTAAACCTGCAGGACCCTGGGAAAAAACATTAAATCACTCATCACCAACCTATAGTGGGTCATTTTTTGTTGGTCAAATCCCTGTTGGCTCAAGCTTCATAAAAATGCTAGGTGCTTATCCCTTTCCCAATAATAAACAATCCCATTACAGTAACCAACCATGACTGGGTGGTAACTCTCCATCATCCCATTGCGAAGGGGGATGGTAAGTATTACAGTTCTCCCTTTATTTTCCACTATTATCCCAGTAGTCTCCTATATCACTCCATATTCTCCCATTTATATCCTACTTTCTATATCCCATAGGATCCATGTATGCTATATATGGTAACATGGATCCCATCAATATACCCCCTTTATGTTAGCATATATACCAGCACCATGGATCCTATGGGTATATATATATATTATTATTATAGAAAGTAGTATCATCCTATTACAGTATCCATTTATATCCTACTTTCTATCTATATATATAATTATATATAGTCATCCCCAAATAGATGGAAAAGTAAATCCCTACTAATTTGATGGTGATTTACTTTTCCATCTATTTGGGGATGACTATATATAATTATATATATATGTATCGCATAATCCCCAATAATATTCTATCCACATCCTCCCCACTCGCCTGAACGTTCACCTCCTCATCCTCTGCCGCGCTCGTCGTGCTGCTGGGCACCTCTAAAGCAGAGATCTCGCCTCAGCAGACGTGGCAAAGGTGAAAGCAACGGAAAATTTGGTGAGTTGGGGGTGTGTTCCTTGTAATATATGCATATATGCATATATATATATATATATGGGTTTGTCTGAAAATAGGGTATATTCCCAATTATAGCCTTTAGCCTTAGGCATAATGATCATTAACCATTGGGTTTAGGGGTACACTATTTTCAGACACACCCATATACATAGAACCATGCTATGTCTGCGAATTTTATTTTACATGATTCTATAGTTTTATATGATGCTGTGCAGAGTTATGTGCAATGGTTGGGCAACAAACATTGTGGTATTTCAACGGTAGAAAACTTGGAATTATAGATCTTGTTTACAAGTTAGTACGTGGATTGAAGAGAGAAAAAAACGGATTTCACCCCAAAAATGTGCGGTTTTCCTGTCTAGGTCCACCGGGAGCGTTCAGGTTTTAAAGTAGAGGAAAAAAAGTCCACAATGTGACAACTTAAAATGAGCGAATTCCCAGCGATGCCAAGGTGACTGGAGCTGGCAAATACGGCAGATAGGTTAGCAATGCAGTATGTAGACACAGTTTTCAAAAATGATAAGCCTTGAAACCAAGGAGGTAACATGCAAAGTAGGGACCATCTTCCTTCCAAATATGCACGCCTGTCCTGGTCCTTGGTTGTTCAAGTGGTCATATTTCCCCACCTGTCAGGTGAGGGTTGTTAGATTTTACGTCAGCTGTCCCGCCTCATCCTCCGCCTCATCCTCTGCGTCATCCGCGGGACCTCAACTGCAAGCGCTATAGACTGCAGTGTTCCCCGCCGGGCCCGAACAGCAAGCACAGGATCAGAGTGTTCCCCGCCGGAACTGATCAGTGTTCCCCGCCGGACCTCAACCTCCGAAGATATACTAGATAGAATGCCAGAAAGAATGTCAGAAGATATGCCAGATAGAATGCCAGAAAGAATGCCAGATAGAATACCAGAAGGTATGTCAGAATAGATGCCAGATAGAATGCCAGAAATAATGTCAGCGTATATGCATGTATATGCCAGAAAGAATGACTTCCAGATGGTATGTCAGAAACTATGTCAGAATCATGGATCAGGCTGGGGATCACTCGAAGAAGGTAATTTTGTCTTGCAATCATAACATGTCGTGCGCATCCCACAATAAGCGGCGCACCATTTCACCATTTCACCATGGTATCCTTCGGCTTGTTGATCCATCATCCCAGCATGGGCCATATTCATCCAAAAAAATGTCTTATATAAGCCCTCTAAATCCCTACAATTAGTGAGGCCCCCGGCCACGATAGCGTTCAGTTGGTGCGTTTATAACTCCAATAAATATATGGTTTATGGTACTCAAATAACGAACTAGTTACTGGGCCGAATCTTAACCAACTTATAACTGGGGGGCCTCACATTGTACCAATCAAAAACAAACCATACAAATGCCTCTAAATCCCTAAAAAAAGAAACAGCAACAAATTCCAATGAGAATTGGAGGTTTCCTCAGTCATTTGGGGTCCCCCCAAATCATCCACGTCATTACACCACTTCAGCACCGAAACCTAAGGTGTCTTGGGGATCCCCTATGACTTAAGAAACCCTCAACTATCATCATGACATGGATTTGTCTGAAAATAAAAGGACCCCGAATTCCAATGGACTATCACATACTATCATCATTCTTCCTATGAAATGACAATGTTGAGGTTTCCTAAAATAGGGGTACCCCCAAATGATCCCTATTTTGGATGGGGATGTTCCATTATAAATCAACAATCAACCATTTTGGCTTACCCCCATTTACAGAAACCTCATGAAACCTCCATATATAGTTGTAAGATGTTATAAGTATCATAACCGATTCACTACAGATATATCACCTATAATAGTTATTCCAATAGACTATGACTATCATCATTCTGTTCATATTCCTATGAAATACTATGAAATCTTCCAAATATAGGATCATTCTTCCTATGAAATGACCATTTTGAGGTCTCCCCCATGACTTTTAGAGAAACACCACCCCCAGCGTTCCCACGCCATCGAGGTTGGGCGACGGGTGAGATTGGGAATCTCCTTGGAGGTCGTGGAAGTTCTCTGCAGGCCTCGGGTGTGCCATGGATCCAGGCGAGCCATGGGATATCATTATATTTTAATGGTTATAATGGTTATAATAGAAAAATGGGTATCTTTAAGTAATGGTTATCAATGGTTATCCCATAAATATCATTACAATATCTATGTTTAATAGACTAAACCAGAACTTATATGATTAAACAATATGATATGGCTAATGGTATGGTTAAACCATTATCTATGGTTATGGTTAATAGATTAATAGTAAATATTGATGGTAATTGATATACTAATAAATATCCATTATAATTGATACCTGGTTGGTGGTTTTAACCATCTTGAAAAATATGAGCTCGTCACTGGGAAGGATTATCCCAGATATGATGGAAAATAAAAAAGTATTTGAAACCCCCAACCAGTGGCTAATGGTTATGGTTAATAGATTAAACCATGAATTATCATGGATATGGCTTTATAACCTATTTTAAATCATAAAATCATAATCTATCCTGGTGGTTTATTAACCATAAAATGGTTTTATAGATGGCTAAAAATAGTTTTTTGGGATTATAATGGGCATCACAGTGGATAATTATCATGATAGTATTCATTAATTGATAATTTATGGATTATCATGGCTTTATTAGCCATGAATCTGGGTGAAGTTGATCACGACCTCACTGTTCTTCCTCACAAGAATCATGGTTAGTAAGGAAAACCTTCCCCAAACAGCCTTAGTTCATATGGGTGAAATATTAACATTTACCCAGATGGATTATTATGGGTTTACTAGCCATAAATGGCTGATGCTAATGGGAATTCATGGGATACATTTATGATGGGATATAATATGGTGATTACTGGTGAGTAATGGTGATATTGTTCAATGGCTGATGGGATACAATGTGTTATAATGGGATATAATGGCTGAATTATGAACCATAAATGGATCCCATGAGATATAGTGATGATTAACGGTGATATTTTATGGATTATCATGGGATATCATGGGCATCAAACATGCCATTTGCGATTTGACCTCTGGTGTCATCATAATGCCTGATTTATGAACCAAAAATGGATCCAATCAGATATACGATATAATGTGGGTAAAACCATAATATACCACCCATTTGGGAATGGTTCATACAACCTATTTATGGATATTTATGGTGATTTGGGGGATGGTTTATTATTGTTTTTACCCACATTATATGAAATAATGGTGATGGGTTAATGGGAAAATCATCTATAAATGGCGGACCTTCCGTTGCCATCTTTGATTACCTGAGGGTAACAGGGAGGGGTTCACAAACGATAGCTAGGTTGGTTTAGTTCACTAGGGTTTCACTAGTATTTCACTGTACTTCAATAGTATTTCACAAGGTAATGTAAGAACAATAGTTGTATTCATCCGGGGTTTGTAGATGTCCCTTTTTGGTTTGTGACAAACATCACCTGAACAAGTATCTGTTGCAGATAAACTATAATCTTTTTTGTTGGGTCATGTTGAATAGTCCAACTTTGTTAAGTCATGGCCCTATCTGTAGATGAACTATCATGTGGGTATGGATCAATACCTATTAATACCATTTTTAGGGGGATGAACATCCATTTACCAGCTATTTTGATGTTCACCAGGGGTACAAGCTTTTGACCCATAGCCATGTCTTAACTAATTGGGACTTTTACCAACCCTTAACTAACCTCCTGTGTCGCCAAACAGTGGCTAACTGGGAGATCTCCGAGCTGAATGGAAGAAATACCCGTACTAAATGGAGGTTTTGATGGGAAAAGTGGAAGTTTTAGTGGGAAAATGCATGAATGGCACATAGGACCCGGCTTTTCACATGACTTCAGTGGATTTCAATGGTGGATTTAAATGGGAATATCATGGGATACAACGAATACATCTATGGTAACCGGAATTGCTATAAGATTGTAAGCACCAAATATTGAAACATGGTGGTGTGATTTGATTATAGTGGGATCAATGACAAATATAGGGATATACAGAACAATATCAATCATGTTAACCAGCAATCATAGGGTTTGAGTGGGGATTATGATGGGATAATGGGAGTATATGGGATCCATATCTACCTATATCTAAGGTGGGGGCCCCAAACGAGAGCTTGCCTTTACATCTAATACAACAAGGATTCATAGGGGACATTACTGGGTGGTTCACCTTGTGGGTCAAGTTGGATGTCGACAAATCTTAATACCCTGCAAAGTTAGGAACAGTAAATCTATGGCCATGCAACAGGTACCATGTTATTTTGGAGGTACCAAATCCCAGTAGCCATGCGGGAGTCTGAACATGCGGGAAAACCCATGGAAAAAACCATGAACAAATCCCATGGAATTAGCCTCTGGCAATCTAACATAGGTATGGAACATCAGCATGTTTAAGAACGGTAAATGGTATCTATAATTCATCTATAAATTGGGCATCATAAATCATTAACATATATATATATTATAGTAAACAATCTACATAGACTGGTATCTAAAATAATGGGCCTTGTGTTAAATTCATGGAGGTGTCACTTTGATGGCGATTTTCGCACCGAGAGGCCCAAGGACACTGAGGCATCCTGTCAGGATACAGGGTCCACAATGAGATAAGAAGGTATGTAACCAACATTGACCAGTGGGGAATCTAAGCAAGATCATTTGTGCGGATAAATATAGATATACATATGTATATATACATATTTATATGGGTGCAGAATAGTTTTTGGAATTTTTGTTGGCTCAGGTTTTGGAATTGTTGTTGGTTTTCTTTCCTGGTACCATCCTTGTATTTGCAACAGTTTGGAACTAGAATCTGTCATTTTGCATGGTATTTGCTGCATTTTGGCATGGTCACCTTGCATTTTGCATGGCATTTGCTACGTTTGGCCATGTTCGCCTTCCATTTTGCATGGTATTTGCCACGTTTTGGCACTTCAACCTCTCATTTGCATGGTATTTGCTACATTTTGGTATTTCAAACGTTCATGTGGGTTTCTCTAAGGCTTCTTTAGGGTTTCATTTAAGGTTTCATTTAGGGTTTCTTTAGGGTTTCATTTAGGGTTTCATGTAGGGTTTCATTTAGGGTTTCTTTAGGGTTTCTTTAGAGTTTCATTTAGGGTTTCTTTAGGGTCTCATTTAGGGTTTCATTTAAGGTTTCTTTAGGTTTAGGGTTTTTTTAGAGTTTCATTTAGGGTTTCTTGAGGGTTTCATGTAGGGTTTCATGTAGGGTTTCTTATCAGGATTTTCAAACGTTCATGTGGGTTTTTTTAGGGCTTCTGTAGGGTTTCATTTAGGGTTTCTTTAGGGTTTCATTTAGGTTTCATCTAGGGTTTCATTTAGGGTTTCTTGAGAGTTTCGTTTAGGGTTCCTTTAAGGTTTCATGTAAGGTTTCTTATCAGGATTGTTTATCACGATTTTCACGCATTCATGAGCTTCTGCAGGGTTTCTTTAGGGTTTCATTTGGGGTTTCATTTAGGGTTTCTTTAAGGTTTCTTTAGGGTTTCATTTGGGGTTTCATTTGGGGTTTCATTTGGGGTGTCATTTAGGATTTCATGTAGGGTGTCATTTCAGGTTTCATTTAGAGTTTCTTTAGAGTTTCTTTTGGGTTTCATTTAGGGTTTTTTAGAGTGTCGCTTAGGGTTTCTTTAGGACGTCATTTAGGGTGTCATTCAAAGTTTTTTTAGGGTTTCATTTATGGTTTCTTTAGGGTTCAGTAATGGTTTTTTTAGGGTTTCATGTAGGGTTTCTTATCAGGAGTTCTTATCAGGATTTTTTGAAGGTTTCTTTGGGTTTCACCTAGGTGTTTACAAGTAGGAAAGAATAAAGCAAAAGAAAAGAAAAAACAAAGAGGCAGTAAAGACAGGAGGCAGAGAAGCAGAGGAGCAGGAAGTAGAGCAGCAAAAACACATGACTGAAGGAAAAAAAAAGTAGACTAGTAGAAGTAGAAAGGCGCAGATGCACAAAAGCAGAAAAGCAGAGAAGCAGAAAAGAAAAGAAGCAGGTAAAGTTTAAAAGCAGTAAAACAGAGAAGCAGGGAAAAACAAAGAAGCAGAAAAGAAAAGAAACAGGTAAAGCAGAGAAGCAGACAAGCAGAGCAGCAGACAAGCAGAGAAGCGGGAAAAGCAAAAAGCAGAAAAGCAGAGAAGCAGAAAAGCATAGAAGCAGGAAAGCATAGAACCAAGAATCCAAAAATAATTCCAAAAGGTGCCGCAAAAAAATACCAAAAATAAATAGCCTTCCTATTTCTATATATAAATAAGTATATATTTACATTTTTATATATATACATATATATATATACATATCTATATATATATAAATATATAAGTATATATATACAAATATAAATATATATATATACATATATATACATATATATATATACATATATATACATATATATACATATACATATATATATATGTACATATATACAGATATATTTATATACATACATACATATATATACTATATTACATATATATGCAAATATATATATATATACATACATCTATATATATACAAATATATATATACATATATATATATACATATAAATACATATATATATATTTACATATATATACACATATATATATACATATACCTATATATACATATACATATATATAATATACATATTTATATATACATATTATATACGATTAGTACTTACAATTAAATACAAATATTAAATACATATATTATATATATACATATATAAATATATTTACATATACAAATATATACATATATACATAAATATAAATATACATATTTCAAACTATACAAATATATATATATATACATATTGATCATAATACAGATGATATATATATATATATACATATATTCACATACATATACATATATATATATATATATGTATATATATGTACGTATATATATATATAGTTATTTATTTATTGTGTCGGACAAAAACTGGGTCGTCCCCTATCGGTTGCGAAGATTTTCGCTCTTTGATAACAACCAGTAGCAAGTGCAGCTCGTTGTACAAATACAAGTAGAAGTAGAAAAAAGTAGAAGAAGTAATAGTAGAAGTAGAAGAAGTAGCAGTAGTAGCAGTAGTAGCAGCAGTACCAGTAGTAGCAGTAGTAGCAGTAGTGGTAGTAGTGGTAATAGTGGTAGTAGTTAGTAGTAAAGAAGTAGAAGCAAAAGGAGTAGAAGTAGAGGCGGTAGAAGGAGTAGTAGGAGTAGTAGTAGTAGTAGTGGTAGTAGTGGTAGTGGTGGCAGTGGTGGTAGTAGTAGTATAGAACTAGAAGTAGAAGGAGTAGAAGTAGAAGGAGTAGAAGGGGTAGAAGGAGCAGTAGGAGCAGTAGGAGCAGTAGCATTAGCAGTAACAGTAGCAGGAGCAGCAGCAGCAGCAGCAGCGGTAGTAGTAAAAGTAGAAGTAGAAGTAGAAGTAGAAAAAGTAGTAAAAGTAGTAAAAGCAAAAGTAGTAGTAGTAGTAGCAGCAGTAGCAGTAGTAGGAGTAGCAGTAGCAGTAGCAGTAGCAGTAGCAGCAGCAGCAGCAGTAGTAGGAGTAGCAGTAGCAGTAGCAATAGCAGTAGGAGTAGTAGTAGTAGTAGTAGCAGCAGCAGCAGTAGTAGTATCAGCGGTGTGGCAGTAGTAGTGGTAGCTTAGCACCAGTAGTGGTGGTAGTTGTAGTACTAGTAGTAGTGATGGTAGTGGGGGCGGTAGTGGTGGTAGTGGTGGTTGTAGCAGTAGTAGCAGCAGTAGTAGTAGTAGTAGCAGTAGTAGTTGTTGTTGTTGTTGTTGTAGTAATATTAGTAGTAGTAGTAGTAGCATGACTAGTAGCAGCGGTGTGGTAGTAGCAGTGGTAGCTCAGCAGTAGTAGGTCAGTAGTAGTGGATAGTAGTAGTAGTAGTAGTTGTTGTTGTTGTTGTGGTAGTGGTAGTGGTAGGGGATAGTAGTAGTAGTAGTAGTAGCAGCAGCAGTAGTAGTAGTAGTAGCAGCAGTAGTAGTAGTAGTAGCAGTAGCAGTACAGTAGTAGTAGTAGTAGTAGTAGGAGCAGCAGCAGTAGTAGTAGTAGTGGATAGTAGTAGCTAGTAGTTAATAGTTAGTAGTTTGTAGTTTGTAGCTAGTAGTGGTAGTAGTGGTAGTAGTGGCAGTAGTGGTAGTAGTGGTAGTAGTGGTAGTAGTGGTAGTAGTGGTAGTAGTGGTAGTAGTGGTAGCAGTGGCAGTAGTGGCAGGTAGTAGTGGTAGTAGTGGTAGTAGCGGTAGCAGTGGTAGCAGTGGTAGCAGTGGTAGCAGTGGTAGTAGCGGTAGTAGCGGTAGGAGTAGGAGTAGGAGTAGGAGTAGTAGGACTAGGAGTAGTAGGAGTAGGAGTAGGGGTAGGAGTAGGAGTAGGAGTAGTAGTAGTGGAGTGGTAGTAGCAGCAGCAGTACTAGCACTAGTACTAGTACTAGTACTAGTAGTAGTAGTAGTAGTAGTAGTAGTAGTAGCAGTAGTAGTACTAGTAGCAGCAGCAGCAGCAGTAGTAGTAGTAGTAGTGGATAGTAGTGGATAGTAGTGGATAGTAGTAGTAGTAGTAGTAGTAAGAGTAGTAAGAGTAGTAAGAGTAGTAAGAGTAGTAGTAGTAGTAAGAGTAGTAGTAGTAGTAAGAGTAGTAAGAGTAGTAAGAGCAGTAAGAGTAGTAAGAGTAGTAAGAGTAGTAAGAGTAGTAAGAGTAGTAAGAGTAGTAAGAGTAGTAAGAGTAGTAAGAGTAGTAAGAGTAGTAAGAGTAGTAAGAGTAGTAAGAGTAGTAAGAGTAGTAAGAGTAGTAAGAGTAGTAAGAGTAGTAAGAGTAGTAGTACCCTGAGCATCGGATATTGATTGTAATCAATAAGATCAGACAATTTCTTATTGATATTGATTTTCATGGTTCCTATTGAAAAAATCAATTGCAAACTGATCTTTTTGTATTGATCTGATTTGGTGCACATACTGATTTTCATGTGTTTTCCATTGGTTTTCCCTATTGATTTTCAGGCTGATGTTAAATGCTTTTCTTATTGATTTCTCTTGGCTTCATCAATTGAGAACCTGCAGTTTTGTGGCTTCAGAAAGGGACCTTTTGTGTCTCACCCTCAGCCTTGTCCAAAGGCTGTGCAGCTGCCTTGACAGAAGGTTGCTTGCAAAGGTTTATTCATTGTCACCAGCTGTGTGCCTTGACAAAAGGTTCTTTGTTCAATCCTCTCTTGACAAAAGGGTGGGTTGAGAATGAGTGGCAAAGGGGGGCACAAACATTTTGCCAAACCCTATGTGGACCCATACCTTCTCTACAAGGCTTTTCACACACATGAAGAGCTGCTCAAAAGCTTTGGAGCATATGAGACAGTCTCTAGGAGCCAAGCAACTGATGCCAAAGGTCTCATCCACTGTCTGCCACTTCTTGAAGACCTGCTGAAAATTTCTCCTCCTGGGGAAATTCACCCCAACCCCCTGAGACAAAGCATCATGAAACTGGTACAAGAGAAACCTGCAATGAACCAAACCGACTGGAATTGCCAAGTATGGACAAACATGAGGGCTGAGAGGGTGACAGTCATTTTGCTACACTTGAGAAGGTTGAAATCAGAAGAAGAAATGAGAAAGTGTGTGGGGAAACTGACAGGAAAGGATTGCCTCCAGCTTAAAAAATTGGTAAGCATGCTGGGAAATGATAGTTGTAATGGTGAGCCTCTTGACAAAAGAGATAAGGAGGAGCCTCTTGACAAAAGGGGTATGGAGGAGGGAAAAGAAGAGGAGGGAGAGGAGGGAGAGGAGGAAGAGGAGGAAGAGGAGGAAGAGGACGAAGAACAGAAGGCAGAGACACCCCCCCTTGACAAAAGGAGGAAGCTGCAGAAACATGAAAGTGATGTAAGTTTGAACTCATCAGGGTTCCCAGCTTGTCTGAATAGCCCTGGCCAGTCAGAACCCTTGCCATCCAAAGCTGACCCCTTGCCAAAAGGTGGTTCTTTCATGAAGAGGAGGAAGGGTCATAAGGTGGCTGCCCAATCTTCATCATGGAAGCCCCAAGACAAAGACACAGGCTTGACAAAAGCCATGGGGCTAGGGACCAAAAAGGAATCAACATCAAAAAAAAGCAGCAAAAAAAAAACTGCAAGCAGCACAGCCAGCTCAAGAAGCAACAGAAAACCCTGGCACAAGGTGTATGTTACATACCCAACCAACCCAGAAAGGGCCTACTTGACAGGCAGCACAGGGCCAGGGAAGAAAGCACAGCTCATCATTGAGGTTACCAGAAAGCAAAGCCCAAAGTACAGAGAGGTCATTGGGATCATCAAAAGAAAGCTTGAAAATGAACACATCACCAAGGAAGAAGCCATCAAGAGCAGGGCTGAGCTCCTGGGCTGGTGACCATGTTTTCCAATTTTTAAGCAGCTGCCTACCTTGAAAAAAGGTGTGGTGTTGCAAGTGGCACCATCTCCTTGACAAAAGGGGCTGGCCCCATGGCAAAGGTTTCACTATAGTTGCCCTTGCCAAAAGGGACTTGTGCAGCCATTTGCCAAACAGAAAAACAAAGCCAAAAACTGCAAAACATGCTCAAGTTTCAATACCAACCATCTAGGTTGTGTTGAATCATCACCTGTAAATATATATATATATTCCTAAGGTGTTTGCAAAATGATGGATATTGCATAAGCATACATAGGCAATTAAATATGGTGGTATACATATGTGTATGTGTTGGTTTACCTATGCATACTGTTTTTTTGGAGAAGGGCAATTTAAAAAAAAAACAACAACAACAACAAAGGCATATGTGCACCTAAATCCAAGTTAGCCAATATTAGTTTATTCAAAGAATTTGTGGGGGGATACCATTTTGATATGGACAGATTACAGTGTTGTGATGGTTTGGTTTCCCACAATCTTCTCAAAGAAACAATCGAACTCTTTGGGTTTTAGGGGCTAGCCATCAGTGTTTTCACCCTCCCATTTCAAAACAACATGCCACCCCCAAAGGTTAGCACTTCAGCATGTTGTGGGCCCTTGACAAAAGGGTTCCTTGCACCAGTGCTGTGGCCATCTGTTTGTTTTCTGCAGCACCTTTTTTGCTCAAACCTTTTTGTTTTCCACAGCACCTTGACCAAAGGTGCCTGTGGGGGTAGCAGCCTTGTGCCTTGACCAAAGGCCTTGTTGTGCAGCATCCTTGCCAAAAGGATGAAGAACAACAAAGGGAAAAAAGCTGGGTCAGGCACTGTGAGCAATGCAAGAAGGGCCAGGTTTAGAGAAGCAGGAATGAAAAGAGAGAATGACACTATGGAAAAAGAAGATGAACACTCCAAGAAGGTTGACTGGGAGAAAGACAAGAGACATGGCAACAAGAAACCACACCTGATGTCAGCCTTGGAGATCAAGTATAACTTGGCCAGCAAAGAAGAGAAGGCAGAATTGAAAAAGGACATGGAAAAAGAAAAACATGCAGCTTTTGACAAAAAAGCTGTCAAACCGGAGGATGTGAAGGAAGCAGCTGTTGACAAAACAGTTGTAAAGGAGGAGCCCACAGCAGCAGAACAGAAAGATGCCTTGACAAAAGGCAGTGATGCACCAGAACAGAAAGATGCCTTGACAAAAGGCAGTGATGCACCAAAGACTTTTGGGCCATCCAAAGAGCAACTTAAGAAAGGGAAGGAGCCTGAGAGGAAAAAAAAGCCACCAGTGCAAGAGGTTGTGGATTGGTGTGCTTCTAGCTCCAGTGAGTATGAGTACTACACTGAGACTGAAAGTGAATCTGAGGAGTCACCCCCCAAGAAAAGCAGAAGCCAGTCACCCCTTGACAAAAGGGGTCAAAAAAAATGGGTTCAAAAAGAAAGCCCACCCTTGGCTCTGCAAGAAGCTGAAAAGGTCGCAGTGGATTGGCACCACACCCTGGAATGGCATGACAATGTGTCCCCACAAAACATCAGGGCCTTGGATGCTTTGAAAGATGCTGGGTACCAGGTCTACCTTTGCAGTTTCTCAGGGTGGGACAGAGCCCAAGAAACCAAGAGACTGAGCTGGAAGGTATGGCAGGGCTGGGAAAAGCAAATCTACACAACAGAGAAGACTGGAAACTATGGAAAAGCACAGGCCTGCTATTACCACAACATCAAAACCGTCTTTGATGACACCTGGGAGGTCATTGATGAATGCAGCAGATGGGGTGTTGAAACATACCTGTGGTGTCCAAGTGGGATGAGAAATACTGGGAAGGGATTGATACCTACAGGTCCTTTGCCCAGGCTGTGCAAGCTTTCCTTGACAAAAGGTGAGCTGAAACACTTGAGCTGCACTGCTCCTTGACAAAAGGAAGAAAATGGCATCCCATGAAGCTGCACAGCTACCCCACACTCTGTACAGTCCTCACTGGCAGGTCTCTTGACAAAAGAGATATGCCTGTAGTGTTTTTTTTGAGAAATGCCACTGCCTCTTGACAAAAGAGATGGTGGCTGTAGTGTTTTTTTTTTGAAAAATGCCACTGCCTCTTGACAAAAGAGATGGTGGCTGCAGTTGGGTTTCAAGCCCCTCCTTGACAAAAGGTGGTGGCCCTGGTGAAGACCCAATAAATCAAATAAGCAAAAGTGAAATAAATAAATAAATAAATAAACAAGTAAACAAATAAATAAATGAATGAATAAATAAATAAACAAATATATATGTAACCAATGAATTATTAAATTAAACTATTTTTTATATTATTAAAGAAGTTATGTATATTGTTTCTTTTTTGTTTGTGTACCTTTTTTGGTATGTTCACTGGTTGGAACAACAATGGAAAATATTTCATGCATATAAATTCAAGAATAAATAGAAATATATATGTGCAATAAGGTCATGTAAAACTTTTAGCCCATCAAATGAATGCTTGGAAACATTTGTTAAACCAGGTTTGCAATAAATTTTGAACACAACATTTCTCAAGGATTTCAATTTCATGAAACCTGAAATTCATATTAGCAATCCAACTAAAGTGCACAGAATTCAGGAAATCATCATGGGTTCAATGTTGCTTCTTTGGGATAAAAAAACAATTGTTAAGGCCCAACTAGTCAGGGCTTGATGGCTCTCAACCTTGGCAAAAGGTGATCAACAATGCTTTCATTTAAAAAAAAAAACAAAAATACAAATTTGACCAAATTTGACCAAATTTGACCAAATTTGACAAAAACCATGATTTGGTCAAATTTGGTCAAAATTGGTCAAAATTAATCAAAATGGTATTGGCTAGTTTTTGGCCAGAATATTTTGGAAACTGTTGAAATTTGAGGTGAAATTCAAGGTTCACTGTTTTTTTTAAAAGCCTTTTGTCAAGGCTGGCTGTGCATGAAAACTCTGGTTCATTAGTTTGAACTCTTTGGCATAGCTATATTTTTGGCCCAAGACAAATACCGCTATCCTTGACCACATTTTTTTATCCAAGCCTTGACAAAAGGTTTGGCTTCCAGGCTCCATGCCACCAAAAAAAAATCATGTGTGGAAAGGAATTTTGAAGAAACCTGCAGCCAAAGCTTTCCCTTGCCCAAAGGGCAAAGCCAAGGCAAAAGGTAAAAAACAGAAAAGCACCTTGACAAAAGGTGACCTTGCCAAGCTTGGCAAACTGAGTTTGGATGAGAGAGTGAAAAAAGTGAGTGAGGAAAACCCGTCTCCAGAGGAAGCTGCCTTGGCCTTGAAAGATTCCTTGACAAAAGATGAATCTGCCAAGATGTGGTCAAAACACCAGACATATTTGAAAGCCAAGCCAGAAGAGAGATCAGCCCATGAGCAACTCACAAAAAAGGAAAAAGGGCTTGAGGTAGTCCTTTGGTTTCTCAAGCACAAGAAAGGTATGTTCTTCCACACAGAAGCTTCCAAAGAAGCAAGTGAAACCTTGACAAAAGGTGAGAAATGGGTCAGTGAGATGAAAATGCTGCAAGAATTCAGCCAGGAAGAGTTCACCATGCACTTGAACAGTGGCAGGATTCTTTGGAGGTCTGACCCATGGACACCTGGAGTGTACAATTATTGCGACCAAGGAGACCAAAGCAAACAAACAGTATTGAAAAGGAAAAACAAAGTGACAGCAGGCCAGGAAAGGGAATTGGAAACAGAAGAAGATGAAAAGGAGTTTTTGGCCTTTTGGGGCAAGGGGGCTTTGGCCAGCATGCAAGAAGCTGAGGTTGCTTTCAAAGGCCAAGGTGCCTTGACAAAAGGCAAAAAAGATACCTTGCCAAAAGGTAAGGGAAAAGGAATGGCCAAAAGCTTGCTGGCCCTTACAAATGGTGAAGATGAGAATAGCAAAGATGAAGATAAGGACAAGAAAACACCAGAAGAAGAATGGGCTGACTGCTTGACAAAAGCACAAAAGAGCAAAGAACAGCTGAGGGTGGCCATGGCCAATTTGCAAGAAGCTTTGGATGCTGCCACTGCAGCAGGCAGAACTTCCAAGCAGGACAGGAAAGATGCCACCTTAGCTTTGAAAGAAGCCCAGGAGTGGGAGCAAAAGCTCAAGGCAATAACAAGCAAAAGCAAGGGAGGCAATGTGGAGTCAGCAAAGCAAAACATCATAGGTGCAGTGGCAGCCACCAACAAAATCAAAAAGGAGGTGAAAGAGTTCAGAGCATTGGCAAACAGAAGTTTTTCCAAAACCAGCAAGAACTAGAACAACCAGCAGCCACAGGTGGCCCTTGTCTAAAGGGCCCTTTGGACCCTTGACAAAAGGGTCCATGTATAGCTGGCTGTGGCAAGGGGTAGCCTTTTTTTGATGATGCCATTACCTTGCCAAAAGGAAATGGCTTGCACAGCTTATTGCCTTGACAAAAGGTGATTTGCACCCCAACTGGTTTACACCTTTCCCTCCTTGACCAAAGGGGTGGTGAAGGGTTTGTGTTGGACAAACAGATTTGAGGCACCAAGCTCAAAAAGTGCTGCAGTACAACCAAGCAGTGGCTTAGGGGGTAATCCACCACCAAATCACCGTGTTTTTTGGTGGTATTGGGTTTCACCAAAACTTTGAAAATACATGGGGACCACAAAGTTTGGGAGAACCAGCAGGTTGGCTTAAGGGCTCTAAAAGGTTGGTGTGGCCAAGGGGTGTCTAAAGCATGTTTTGTGCAAGGTTTTGGTTCAAGCTTTTCCTTAAAGGAAAGCATGCCTTGCCAAAAGGTTTTTTCTTTAGTGTCACCACCATGAAGCCAGTAAAGAGGCTGAGGGGTACAGATTTGGAAGTGGCTAAGCAAATCCCTGAA